GGCAGGTGTTTGCACTTTTCTGGCTTATAAAATACTAACTGGATCTGAAAAGGGTTTTCTAATGCAGCACTATGCCTTTGACCTGCTTGAAAATCTTACGGGAGTTGATGTAGCCCATCTCCAATCCTTATCTCTGCCAAATGTTGTGCAATATGAGAGTTACTGACATTACTGCCGGAGGTACAGTACTCAGGCAATTGTCTCAGATCTGTATCTGGAAAGGAACTCGAGAAAGTAAATCTGTTTTATGAGCTGTAAATGCATTTGAAACAATTCTGGAAGATGCATATGGCAAGCATATTGGAACTCTTCTCAAGCTGGAAAGTTGTGTGTTAATTAGTGGAAAAACATAATAAAGACTATTGTAACTCCTGTACACTCAATAGTTGCACCCTAGCTTTTGACATTGGACTGATGAAGGAGGGAATGTTGCAACTTTTATGTGCTGGGAGACAGAAGATCAAGGAGTGTTTCCGTTCTTGGTGTTGCTTGAAAACATTTCTGCTGAGATGACCTACCAAAGTTTTCTGTTACAGCATCAGCCTTTTGTTGTGCACTGCAGTCAAAGTGTCTGACGTATAACAAAAAAATCTTTCTGCTCTTCCACATACTATAACCCAAATTCACCTTCACTGTCATGTGCAAAGTGACAATTATATTTTATTAACCTGTGAGTTTGAAAAAGCTTGGTGTGTTTAACTGCCTACAGGACAAAGCAAAAATTATCTCATTAGAAGCTGACATGAATTTAAAAGTTTAGACAAAAGAATACTTGAATCTTCAGAGATACTTTGAAATGGATGGAAAATGTTAAACCTGATATCTGGAGACAGTTTAGAGAAGGGCGTTATGTGGAATAATGTGATTAGCAATCTGTTTTTGAAGGGAATAACTGTTGTGGGTTTGGTGTCTGTTTTTTTTCCCTGCTAAGTTAGAATTCAGAGTTTGTGCGACTTGAGTGAATCTTTACTTCAAATACGTGTGTGCATGTTAACTCAAAATTAGACTTCTGCCAAGAAACAGGTGTAGGCCACAGCTTGCTGGTTCAGCACTTTCACAAGCCAAGAGCTCTGCAAGGGGTGAGTGTGGCACCACTTTGATTCTGCAGACGATCAAGCTGTCCTAGGAGGTTCTGTCTCCGCTTATCCAACTTAATTAAGGTGTGAAGCCATCACTCAGAATACAGGGACACAGTTACTCACCTTCATAGCAAGAAATAGCTTATTCCTGTCATCACAGGGCAGTCTCCTCTGGCCTTGCTACACATAAACTAGAGTAACTTTTGGGACATTCAAATCTTGCACCGCTTCCCTGGCTTTGCGTGCTGAAGTGCAAATTTTCACCCTTTCTGGAGAGTTTTCCTCTGACCACCAACTCCTAAATATACATCTGCTGGCACTGTGCTGTCTGTTGGCAGTCTCAGACATTGCAGAGTGCCTTGTGGGAAGCTGAGGTAATTTGCATTCAGGACAGCATCCACTGCAGCAAGGTGTCTTCTAACACTGGCAGGAAAAAAAATAGTTCCCTGCTGCTGCTGTTGTATCTCTGCCTGTAAATGCGTATGAAATGATGGGATTATGTTAAAGAAACTTCAGTAATCTTTTGGGTTTCCACCTTGCAGTAGGAGATAACTAAATGAGACTCTAATAGCATGCTGCTTTAGTCTTTGAAAAATGTCTTTGTTGTTTATTTTTTTAAATGCTAGAAAGATAACTGTGCCCTGCCTGATATTTCTCATTGTTGTTGTTTTACCTTTGAAAATACAGTAATGAACATTGAGTTTTGATTCTTCTCGTTCCTGTCTTTGTATAACCGACTACATTTTGTTGACTGGTCTACAGTGATTGAAAATTTGCTATACAGTGTGTTCAAGGTAAACCTATACAATCATTAGGGCTAATCTTAGCAGTGATTTGCATCTCTAGGTGCATCAGATACCACTGACAAAGAAAAATAGCTGCTTTACAAGCCTTCCTGGGGATTGGAGGCTTTTTGACATTTTTCTAAAGTTGAGCTTTATCAAGGAGTGTTGATACTTTAAAATGTTGAGAGAGGAAGGTCAATGTGAGGAAATTGCTTCCAAATGTTCCTCTCCTGTCAAAAATGAGGGAAAGTAAAGCATAACAAATTGCTTTGTGCAGAACTTGCATAAAAATACCTTTTCCTCTCATTAGAGAGATTCCTGTTTCTATGGGCCAAACTAATCACCTCTGCCTCTTACTGAAGCAAATTTGGTGAAGTGCTAAGAAATGGAACTTTGCTTTTACCATTTCTTCCCCCACTTCTCCAAACATTTAGGATCAAAATAATCCCCTTATAGCCAGTAAGAGTGTACTGTTTAGTTCATACACTATCCAGTCATGTCGATAGGAATTTTGGGTTGGCTTGATGTTTTTATTTAACTCTTGTCTGACAATGTCTACTTTACCCAATAATTCTTGTTGGCCTTATAATACTGTCTTCCTGGTGATCTGGATGTTGATTTCCTGAAATAAATTAAATTTTGTATTCACTGATTGATTTTTCAAGTGACAACACACAAAATATTTCAAAGGAGAGTTGCAATTTGACATGGGTTTGATGAAAATTGTTCACTTCTTGTTCTAGAGGCTTCTTTTAAATATAGCCTGAGAGGCCAAAATCACTGAGGTTCTGGTAAGTACCATTGCTGAAATGCTTCTAGGCGTTGCTGAAACTGGGAAAGCAGTAATTTGCACACCCAGTACAAATTAGTTTGTTGTACAAAATCATGGAGCTGGTTTCCTCTGCAGATAAATTAATAAATGTGGTTGGGAGATTTCCAGATTGGAAAAGGAGAGCTTGTTTGAGGATTATGTTACTTTTGGGTAACAAATAAAATTAAATATTGACAAAGGAAGCTGTTAATAAAAAAATTAATAAATTGCAATTTGCCCTTGGCTATCATTTTGTTCCTTTTTCTGTCAACACCCATGCTGCCTAAAACTACAGTTATCAGACTTTCCCCCACTTCTTAATTCTCAGTGAGGGAGACTGTCTCATCTCCCAGCATTCCAGTTGAAACCCTATTCATAACTGGGTAGTGTTTGGCACTGTTTGTTGGTATGTCTTGGGTGCTGTGAGATCTGTTATAAACCCTTCCAACTGCTGTGTTTTGCACTGTTGTGTCTTAAAGTAGTGTTATGCATTTGATATAGAAGATAAGTTGTCTTCCCAGGAAGAAGGATTTGTCAGAGAGAAAAAAAAAAAAGAAGCATGGAAATTTTAAAATGAGACACTTGTGAGCTTTTTCCTCTAGTTCTCTTAATATTGGGTAGATTTTCTTCAAAACATTTCTGTCAATTCAATATTTTAATCAAATTACTGGCTGTCAATTTTGTAGCTGAAACTCTATTATGAGTGGAAAAAATGGCTTTCTGTTCCAGAATGGAATACTGTGTATATTAGCTCTCCTGAATATAAGGCGATTCGGGACGAATATTTATACTTAGATGATGAGAATGATCCTTTTCATTGTGTTAAATCTGTGAATAAACTTTTCCTCCAGCTATTGATGGTCAAAACATTTTAATAAAATGTACAGCAGAGGACAGCTCAATATATTCAGGCCATTGTCAACAAACTCCTGACAAAGGGAGAGAGAATGCTGCTTAGGGAGTGTATCCCCAGAGCACCAGGTTATGTAAATAACCTGAGCATAGAGGAGGAAACTGAAAGGAATTTTTAATGGTTGCTTCATCTAGCTGCCTTGGAAATACCATTTCAACAGAGATAAGCCTTTAGCAGAAGAAAAGACTTTTGAAGTAAATGTAGGGAAGGGAAGATGGGGCTCTGTTGAAATGTTGGCAAGCCATGTAGAAATCAGATGTGGTTCCAGGGTGCAGATACACAGCAGTAAGGTGATATCAGAATATGTGGAGAATTGAGTAAAAACAGGAGAGAAGGAAAATTACTGCTACAGTAGTCTGCAAAACTAGACATGTAAAAATAATGTATTTCTAATGAATTTCAGAGCAATTTGACACCTCTGATTGCACTGAAACACAGTAAAATGGAGCATAAAATGTGTTAAAATGAGAGGCAAAAGACACTGAGTGGAAGGTAGGACAGAGCTATGAAACAGCATTCATTATAAGTATTAATGCTAAGTAAGTCAGATGTTAATGTGAAACAGGTTACATAGCCCGGAAAGAAGGAAAAATGTGCTGGAACTATAGTGTGACTTGTGAAATTCTGTGATCTGTTAATGACTTCTGAACAAATGTTTTGCAGCACAGGCAATAATGTAGCTTAGAAGCGTAGCCTTCCCCTCATGGGCAACTGCAGGCACTTTCCCTCCCTCTCACATAGGTGCTGGTGTGGCCAGAATTAGATGAGGCTAGGACAGAGACAACGGTGAACAATGATTAAAAGTCACTGACTGGTGGCTGAATTCCTGGCCCTTTTGAGGGTTTGGCTTTTTATTAGCTGGGCATGTGATATTTCTGTGCCAGGCTTTTGGCTCTGCTGGTTGCCGTTGGGGACTTTGTGGCACCAGAGACGCAGAAATCAACAGAGAAGTTTCTAACTGCATCTCTGGTGTGTCTTCTGTTTCTGTGAAACATGAGAGGCCTCAGCTTGGGAAACCTGAGAGCAGATCCCCCTGTCCATTCCTGGTGGCTTCTCAAGGTGGAAGATCTTGGGGTAGAGTGCAGAGCTCCCTCTGCCTCTGACTGAGTATCCTTCCCTGACCAGTTGATATTCCCTGTGGGGAATGTCCAGTCTTTAAGCTCCAGCTAGAAAGCTGGAGTAGGGCGACTTTTTATTTATTTACTTAAGGCTTCATCTTCCTACAGCTGAGACATTTGGTTCCTTAAGCTCAGGAGTCTGCCATATGCACATAACTTTCTTGAATGCTGTAGTATTGCCAGCTCACAGGAGAGCAGGCTCCTAGTTTCTCTCTACCATTAAACAGGTATTCTAAATCAAAAATCAAAGTTAGTGTCCACAGCAGACTTAAAAAACTCCAAACTCCATAAATTCGCAAATAAGATTTGAAGGCAGGTTGTTTTTTAAGTGTTTTGTTTTTTATCACAAGGGCTTGATGGCAGCTTCTTGCAGTGAGTTATTAAAATGTCTTTCCTCTTACCATCTCTTGCTACCATTCAATATCTTGTGATACTTCACTTCCTTAATTGAATACTAGTATATATGCATTATTTATATTAATATCAGTAGCTGAGTTAGGAAACTAAACTTACCAGCTAATTAAGTCTCTTCAGAATTGGTGAGTTAAGAATCAAAGCAAAGTCACTGATACAGAAAAGGTAAATTGTTTTTGTTAGAATTGAAATTTTTCTCAGTTTTATGCAATTATACTGCTATTAGCCTTTTCTTCAACTGGCTCTTGCCAAAATGTCCTTGTCTTAATACTAACATACTGTACATTCCTTTTTTTTCAGTCTGACACTTTTTATTTAGTCTGACACTAACTCTTGTCATGAAGTGGTTGCATTTCATCTGTGAGGGTGGAATCCTTTTGTATTTCAGTTATTCTCCTATGGGTTAGCAGTACTATAGCATTCAAGAAAGTTGTGTGAGATGGGACACCTGGGGATGACTGTCAAAAGCCTGGAAATTCTTAATTCTTAAAACTTTAAAAGAGGTCTTTTATGTATTTATAAGGAAAGCTTGGAAATTTTTGTGTGAAAATGTGGTGCTAGTGAAGACCTTGCAAAACATCTGATTTTTGTGATAGCACAATAGAATCAGAATTGCTATCAGTGCATAAAACTATTCAGCATTTGGGTTTTGGCTTATTTTAATTCTAAATATAGAGCAATGTAAATTTTATTAAGATATCCTTTAAACTTGAGAGCAAGTTACATAAATTTATTACTAAAAATCATTGTCCATTTTGGAAAGCTGAGTGGTTGTAGTGCACTCTGCTCTGCTAATCTGAGCCGACTGTTGCTCTGTAATTACCTCTGTGTGCTCTTGAGTTATGCATGATAATGCAGTAAACAGTGTTCCTCATAGTTGATTAATCTATAACTGATCCAGGGGACAAACAGGCTTACCACACCTGCAGGTGAAGGGCATGCAGGTGCCTGAGGTGGCTGTTAAGGTGCTCTTTAAGCCTGCCGTGGTAGGTGAGGCAGCAGGGGGCAATTGCCGTGGCTTTTGTGTTCGTGGAGGGGTGAAAACCTAACAGCCCAAGAGGTGGGTTGGGCATATGCTTCTAAACTCCCCTACATCCTTTCCCTGTCCTGGATCAAGCAGAGAGGGTGTCTTTAAAACAACATTCCTGGCATGCAGTCAAGGGTGAGAGAAATATCCTACTGCTGTGGACAGCCTGCAGGAGACCTGGCTTGTGCTGGTGTGGGCTGCCCTTGGTCTTCAGCCTGGAAAATCGACTCTTTAACTTTAATTTTACTTATTTTCTGCATAAGGGCTGCTTGTGCATGGGTTATATGAAAAGCTTCTTGTTCATAGAAATGCGAATATTAACATTGTGTGTGTTAATAAGGAATTTAAAGGAACTTCAAAACCCAAGTGAGTTACCTCTTCAAAGGATTTTCATGGAGCTTAAACAAACAAGTATCTGCTCATCATAAATGTGGAGGATTATTAGTTCCTAGTTTTAACAACTGTTACCTTTTAACACTATTATGATTGTTTTCCCCAGCTGGCCAATGCCAACTGTAAAGTTCACTAGTATTTTATGGGATTTTTCTGGACTGTTGTCACCAAATGCAGTTGAGCTCCTGGAGAAAAGTAGGCTTACAGCTGTAAAACCTGAGAAATATGAGAGTTTTGTAACATGGTATATATCATATATCTTATCACAGTGAATATTGTGCCCTCTTTTCTAGGTCCCAAGTGTACGGGACTGGATTTTGATTAAAATGAATCTTAATTGAGTTTTATGCCTCATGTAGCTTACAGAAAATCTTGAGATAGAACAGTGGTAGGTCCTAAAAGAAAAAGGAATCAAGTAGTTTCACTGTGCATGTCTTGTGATTTGTTGATTTAAAGATTTGCATCATATAGAAAATAGGAGTGTTTAGGGGTGTTGTGTGCATTGCAAACTGTCACATTACTTTTTACCCCCACAGGGCTATACCGTGTTGATTAAAGGCATCTGCCAAGCCCTTTACTGATTGCTTGTGTTCTGCTGGGGTCAAGGCATCTGTGACCAGCATTTATCTGAAATAACATGCAGTAAATGACAATGGTGAGCAGGACCAGGATTCTGGTATAGGAGACATCAGAAAACCTCCACAGTCTTCTAAAACTACTTTGATCCAGATATTTCAGACTCTTTTTCTTGAAAAAACTAATTATTTTCACTATGGTTTTCTGATAAAACATTAATGTAGTCCTTTCGAATAACAAAGAGGTTTTAAATCTGACACAGAGAAAATGACTGGTGTCTAGAAGCCTGGGTTGGCAATGCTGCTGAAGTACCTGCAATGGGGAACAGCTCCGGGTCACAACAGTTTATAACTTTTTTGCAGTTCATTTGTTTAGTGTGATATTAGGAATACTCAAATATGGTGAAGTTACACAATCCAAATTCTCACTTGCAGACTCTAGAGCAGTGGAAGCGAAAACTCCAGTTACAGGGCCCAGACCCAGAAAGTGTCGCAAGTGTTCCTTTGCAGCACCAGCCTTTCCAATTGTTTCTTTTTGCCTGGAGGTGGAGGTAGTCGATAGATCAGGAAAAAAAAAATACAGAATTCTGTGTTAGAGTGCTTTCTTTGAGAGAGAGTTTTCTGCAGGAAAATGCATTCTGTTCCATCTGCTACTCTGTGTATACAGTGCTATTGCTCACACCGTTGCTGGCTTAATAGAAAAAAATTAAATCTTTCATTCCTTTCCCTGCAGGGAAGGAGATTAGAGACCCGAGCAGAAGTAGATGAAATGTTCTCTGTGGACAACCATGAGAGCGCATATATTTAGTAATCATCATTTTCCATAGTGCTCCACTGAGCTCTGTTTGCTTTTATAAAAGTACTGTTGGAAGAAAAGAACCACTCCTGCCCCTCTGCTTCCCATATGTTAATTCTTGGGTAGTTCTTTGTGCCCCTGCACCACCCTGAATCTGTAGTTTGGAATGGAAATGGTGGAATTTCTCCAAGTACTTTTCCTCCTCCAGGAAGTCAAACAAAATAGCTGCTTACTGTCAAATGTTAGCTTCAGTTTCAGGAAGGAAAAATGCTTTTTAAATATGAGAAGTGAGAATATATTATCCTTCCTGAGACTGACAAGAACTACATGCTTATTATAGCCAGTGAGCTGACAGGCAACACTAAATGTGGGTAAGGCTAGCAGAGCTGGGGGATCTTAAGTCCTGCATCTGCATTTTTTTTTCTAATGTTTTGTTTTGTTTATTTTTTGTTTTGCTATGTGTGGAAGAGCAGGTTGTTTGAAGTTAAAATACAGTATTTGCTGTGGCACAGGGTAAAGAAGTGGGATCAGCTTTCTGATAAGGCGTTTTTTTCAGGCATAGTACACGAGGGATTAGAAAACAGGAGCTATTCAGTAGCTATGGAGAGGACTTCATGGTGCTGAAAGAACCCTATTCCTAAGGATTTAAATTTTTAAAAATTTTTCTTTATTTTGTTTTCCTTGGTGCATGGGCATACATTGAAAGAAGGAAGGAGAATTCTGATAATTAGTAAGCATGTTAAACTCTAAATGAAAATTTCTGAAGTGCATTACAACAGATGCATCCACACAAAACTAGATAATAAAACTCTGATAATGAAGAAGAACCTCCATTTTTACCATAAGCTCTTGAATAACATATGTTCAACTACAGAACAAAATTTTGTGTGGAATGTATGCTTCTCCCCCTATCTTTTTTTTTCCCATTATGTGGATGTTATAACATTGAACAATCTTCACTTTGAATTATGATTGTGTAATTAATTATTTGGAGAGTGTGGAAAATCAACTCTTCTATTCTTTTCTACTTATTAATTTGGCAGGTGTGGGATTTGGGGTTTGTGGGATGGGGTTTTTTTGTTTGTTATTTTAAAATACTGTTCTATTCTCTAATTAGGACTTAGCAGATACATTTAGGAAGACGCAGGCAAATAATTTTCTGGAAAGATGCGTAACATTTATTTCCTGATTAGTGAATTGTGGGGAATGACGGCATGTCTTCTCTGATGCATTTATTTGATATTTAAAAGGAAGCATGTGTGAATTCTTTCTATGAACTCTAATTCAGGTGTTTGTATTTAAAAAAGAAAATAAAAGCAAGCTGGTATTTTACAGCTCCTCAGAGATTTAAAGGAAGGTAACTTTAATAACATCATATCTGTGACAAGAATCTGAGTTTCAAAATCTAAAGCAGAATATTTTCAACTTCCATTAAGGTAATTTTAATGTAAATTTAATAAGGTAATTTGTATTTAATAACATTATTCTTTTTCAGTATCTTTCAAAACATTACCTGTGTTGGTTTACACAAAGAACTGTGCCCTGTGTCGAAAATGTGAAAACTCAATGCTACTACATGATACCGATGTAAACTTAAGATATGACCATCTGCATATTGCTCTTTATTGACAAATATCAATAAAACAACATGTAGGCAAGTCTTGAATATTTAACTCCATGTTTGTACACAGACTTTAATAGGGATCCTGCACTTACTAGGCTCAAAACAGGCAGACAAAGTAAATGCAGTAATTTTTTTTTTCATTGTAATTGAATTTAAAATCTTATTTCCCTCATGGCATCTCACTGAATTCTCCACCAACCTTTACTAAAAAAAGCATAATAAATTGCTTCTGTGCTGGAGCCAGGAAGGGAAGTCTGCAGTGTGTTCACCACAGCAGCTGTGAATATGCAGCAGTGGGGATGGCAGGATTTAGAGGTTGGACTACCAAAGTTCTCCATCCTGCTGCCATCCCTTGGGCTAGAACTGCGGCTGTGGCACTGCTGTGGTCTGGCAGCAGAGGCTACTGCTGAATCTCCAGCTGGCTGTGGCTCAGCAAAGCTGGTTTGGTTTTCCTTCCTGGACTGGCAATTATGGACTCAGGCAACAGACAGTGTTTGATTTAACTGTGTTTGAAGGTATAAAATTAAACTCCTTAGAGGTTCTGAGCTGTTCATATTAAGGGGAAAACAAGGCAAACTGATAACAGCATTAGTTCATATGCTTTCCTCTTTCTTCTTTTATATGTATCTTCAGATGGAGCTCCTCATTTCAGCGTAGTTTTTAACAAAACAGCAAATTGACTTACATGGAAGAAAACTTAATAGAAAAACTGATAGTGATAGGACAAGGGGAGCAGTTTTAAACTAAAAAAGGGAGAGATTTAGATTAGATGTTAGGAACACATTTTTTACTCATGGGGTGGTGAGGCACTGGCACAGGTTGCCTGGAGAAGTTGTGTTCAAGGCCAGTTTGGTTTGGGCTCTGAGCAACCTGGTCTGCTAGAAGTTGTACCTGCCCATGGTGGGGGTCTTGGAAGCAGATGATCTTTAAGGTCTCTTCCAACCCAAACCATTCTATGATTTTATGGATATTTGTACACTGAATATTTTGAACTCTTTGAAAGTCTTGAGTACTGACCTACAGCCAGTAAATCAGGTTTAGTTTCTCTAAGGTTTAGATTAACTGTGAATTGTTTGCAATTATACTGTCTCTCATAATGGTGTAATTAAATAGAAATGGTTGTGCTGAGTAAATTGGACATGCCATGTGAAAGGTGAGGGGATTTCTGACCTCTCTGCTGCATATTTACATAAAATCAGACCTGGTCTTTTTTATGATCAGGTGAAAGAAATATGACCATGTAGAACATAGGTTTGTTTCCCACAAATTTCATTCAAAAGGTTTCTCTTTCACAGATTAATCTGTGATTAATTGTAAAATGGTTACAATTAGCAATAGCTCACCATGATAGTTTTCTATCCATATTTCAAAGCCTAGTATGAAAACAGAGCAATTTACCTGCATAATTCCTTCTTTGAGAGTGATTAATTGTGAGCTGGAGATCAATGATGGAAATTGGCAATTGAGGATAAATTGCCTGTGGAAATGGAGAAAAGGTAGAATATCCTTAACCTTTTAGTGGTTTTACTGTAATTCCTGCAGTATGCTTTTCATATCTGCAGTGTGGTTACTTATGCTGGGTAGTGAAACCTTTCTAAAACTCAGTGTTGCTTTCTGCTTCCATGGTAATAGATGCTCTTAAGAAAAACCAAAATAACAAAAAACCACAAGTGAGGGCCGAAGTGCTTCTCGTTTTCCCAGTGTCTGTGCAACTTAACACTTCACCTTCAGAGACTGCTTCAAGAGCTTGTTGAATGCCTCTGAATCCCTTAGTGACTCTGCTGATGGTCAGCAAAATTTGTCTCAGCAACTTTCTTTCCTCTCCCTCCTCTTTGTGACTGAGCAGCATGATAAGAAATTATATAGAAGGTATTTGCTGTAGATTTTTGGACATGTGAAGCAGATGTATTGTCAAATGTGCATCCATCTGAATAAGAACAAGTGATTTCTAGGGTTGTTTTGTCAAATTGTAAGCTAAGACACTGGATCCTGTACTATATCGTGTCCCAAATTTAGTTAATTTTTGTGCATTTTTATTTTGTCTTTAAGCAGCCCTGTATAGCAATCAATACAGTTTTGAATGAATTGAGGCTCTTTACAAACAATTTCTTCAAATCCATAATGTTTTCATTTGTAATGTTCTCATTTGTATATGTATTTTTCATCTCAGGAGCAAATCATCAGCCTTCAAAGGTTTTGGAAACATTTCTTTTGATAAAATATTTTTGACCTACTTATCTTAGTCTGTGTGATAAGTATAGTTTTACCTTCAGAACTGCCTTCCCTGCAAAATAAATTTTAAAGGATCAGAACTCTTATTTCCCTTTAAGAAACAGGAGGCAGTTACTATGTTTTATTTGATTGATATCTCTATCTTACTGGACAAATAATTATTAAAGCTTCATATTGTTGTATAAACCACTTGAAAGGATTATGCAGCAGAAGATTGCAGGGGATGTTTCTGTATTTTTAGGGTGTTTTTACACCACAGACTATTAAATTAGAGATACAGGAACTACTTATCAGATTATTGCTTTTGGTCTGCTCTGCTGACACTGGGATTGCTTTGAGAGCAGTGTTGTGAAGAGACAGCCTTCAAAACACTGACCCAGTGTGAAGTGAATTCAGAATGTTTCAGCTGCACAACTATTCCAAAACTGTTTTATGTGAGCTCATTACTATACTTGCAAAACTGAAAAGCAATTGCTATAAGTGGAGCTTTCTTTGTATCCCAGATCTCCAAAAAGGATTAATTCTTGCTTCTACCAAAGAGATGGAATAAGATGAAGTGTATTTATCACCATTTTTTATATGGATGCCTTGTTTTACAGATAAATTGGCAAGGATCGGGTATGTGTGACAAAAATCCCACTTACTATTGATGTCAGCACGCTGTTTCCTGTGGGAAGGATAGGGAATGCTCAGCAGGCAATGACACTGCTCTGCAGGGAATGATGAGTGGTCTAACGAGATATTCCTCTGGTAGGCACAATACTGTGCTTTCCATTTGGGTAGAGTTTTACTATTCAGTGAAGTATCTGCTTTGTGAAGGAGGTTATGCATGCAGAGTAAACAGTAAGCATGAGGTGGTGGAGTTCTGAGCTTATGTGGGGTCTTGCTATCTTTCTCATCCACAGATAAGAGCAAAAAGTAAGAATAAAGCTCTCACTTTAAAAACATTTTCACATATTCATAAAATAACTGAAGAGTGCAATATTCTGGCGGAAAAAAAAAAAAAAAAGCTCTCCCTCTCGTTTTGGTCTTGAAAACCACAAAAGGAAGTGAAAGATACAGCGAGCCCTTCAGTGTCTTGGTTGTGCTGTCACCTTGGGTGGTGGCTCTGATGATATAGCATGAAGTCATCCTGGTGTAGAAAGAATCTCTTTTGACCTAAGGAGAAAATGTGAATCCCTAATTTCTTACCAAATGGCCGTAGATGTCTTCACTGGTAAGTGAATAAATTCCTGTATGTAGACAACAATCCTTCTGAAAAACAGGGTAGGCTGTGGATCTCATAATTTTCCATAGAGCTTCTTTCCTTAAGGCAAATATTTAATGCAGCAAGTATTTAAGCGAAAAAGTAATCAGGGGTTTGTTTACTGAGAAACACTGACGGGAGGAGGGGTGGAATAGAAAAGCAGTATTCTATTCTGCCAACAACGTGATCCAGAATTAAATTCCTGCCTGCAGTTAATTGGGATTGATTATCTGTTCTAAATTATGCATAGGAAAAGCAAAGGTATTACTCAGTGGGGTTAATCAGAGAGTTGTGAGAGGAAGTTTGAAGTTTTCCATTCTCCAACCAGGATTTTACATACATATGTAACAGCTAAATATCGTGTTTTTCTGAGGTGTTGAAATTGAGCTTTTCTGAAAACAATTTCATTAATTTACAAGTCTGAATATTGGATTTTTATTCCCAACTTTAGACATGTAAACCAACAGATTCAGGTATCTAATTTGGTAGAATAATATCAGTAATTACATTTGTAGGTATTTTAATTATTTTTGGAAACCCAGAAGTGCCTATATATAAAAAATGGTTTCTGCCCCTTTTCAGCACGTGAAATTGTCAGAAAAGCTAAATGTAAGCTGAGCAAATGGCTTCTGTGGACAGCTGAGGTTTGTGCTGCAGTGAAAAGCCGAGGTGTAGAATGCAGTAATTAGAGAGGGCAGTCAATACTTGTTAGTGAAGGCAGTGCTTGTGATCTGTCTTTGAAGGGGGAACAGAGCAGCACTGCCCTTCCTGCAGTGCCTTATTGACCTGCTGCAGCAGCCACTCTGCTCATCCATGGAATAATGGACATGCTTTCTTTAAGAATAAATAACCTATTTTCCAAAAGTGCTGGAAATAGTTCAGGAAAAATGAAAGCTGCTTGGGACTGCAAGGTGTATGAGTACATAATGTGTGTGTGCAATTACAAGGGGTTTTGGTGGGATTTACAAGCTCCAATAGAGGCCTTTTAAGAACAATTTCCCTATTTTTTAAAATGTGACTTTCATTTTTGCTAAATAGATCAGTCTAAAGGGTTTATGCATAACCCAAATGAGGCAAATTTAGTCTGTGAACAACTTGCTGCTGTGAAAGGTTAATAAATGAAATATGAGGTGTTTGGCAGACAAGCTTCAGAAGTGTTTCAGTGATTTACTTCTCTGGGAAAGACTGCTGCCACATAATTCCATTAACTGTATGACGTGGCTATGCAGTAGCCAGGCATGTCACTGCCCTTGAATTTCCATTTTGTGCACTCCTTTATTTGTGCTGTTCCCATGAATGGCTTTCCTGCATCTTTCCTGGGGTGCCAGCTTCTTGGAGGTGATCAGAATAGCCAGAATAGCTTGTGGTGGTGACCTCTTCTACAATGTAGCTGTCAGAGCAAGTTTGTGAGGATCAAAGATGGAGAAAGGGGTCTCGATTAGAAAATGAGTCTTTGCATGGCATTTCTTTCAAGGCTATTCTAAATCTGGCTTAAGATGAAGAACGTGTCACTGAGATCTTTGCTATGCTATTTAGTTCCACAATTATGGAAGAAAGTACCAAAGATGGAGAGCTGCTCATTTTCCCATGAAAAGGGAAAACTACCACTTATTTCCTTTTAGAGCAAGGTAAATGAACAGGAGAACTTTTGGGAATTCTCCCATGAAATGTTACTGCATTGTTTTAACTAATTTTGTTCAGTGTAGGTATGTTGCCATACACAGGAAAAACAAGTCCAACCCCCTCCATATTCTGCTTCTTCAATTCATCATGCTTTTTATGCTTGTTAACATGATTTGGTAGTGATCAAGGCTGTTCTCAGAAGCTCTTACAGCACCCTATAAACATGCCGGATAAGGTCTTGATATCTCACAGTACTCAGAGCTGCTTTGCATAAAGTAAAACATTCCCTCCTTCTGCTGACTCCTGGGCTCACAATGTTTATGATTCCTGAATGTCATTTGGAAGCCTGTGCTGAGGTATATGCATTGAATTATTTTCTTCTCTAAAAATGCTTCAGTTGTGGAAAATATTTTATTTCTCAATTAATATTGGGAACAATGAATACCTAATGTCCTACTACCATTTCAATGGAAAAGTCTTTTTGGAAGTGACTTCTATCAGGGTTGCTCTTAACTTAGGAGTTGCAGGTTGGTCAGTGACACTGACCAACAGTGACACCAGCACCACTGGTGCTGGTGGTGGGTTTTAGATTGCCATCCTAATCCAATGGACATTTAAAATTTCTTTGCCGTGGTATTTGCAAGATGGCCAAATAAACCTGAGTGGATTTTACCTGGTGGTATATTGAAGCCACTTGTTGACCTCTATTTATCAATGTTTTTTTTGTAGATGATTTATGTACTGGTGTTCATAGTTCTTTACATTTTCTGCACTAAGCTCAGTGCAGTGGGATCTGAATGTGGAGGCCACTTCAAATATCACTTCTGTGCTCAAAGTTAGAGTTTTAAGATTTTCAGTCAGGCCAGAGCCATAGGAAGGGCAGTGACTTTTACACTGGTACATCTGGGAGATGTAAAGAGGGTAGGAAGTCAAGCTTTTGAGTATACTGAACACCACCAAAATTGAATGCTGCTGTTCAGACTTATTTTTCCAAGTGTTCTCTTTTTTGTAAATCTGCTCACTGTACTTGAAGTGTTGATGGGGTCTTGTTTGGGAAAGCATAATCTCAAAGCACAAATCTTAGACCAATGTAGCTCATTATTTAGTCATATATCTGTACGTTTTGACAGATGAAAAGCCTTATTTAGGTATTTCCTCTCTGCTGTCTTGCTGGAACCATGAAGTCCTTCTCTTTTGATGGAGCTGTGCATGGTTTGAAGCAAGGAGGGAAGAAAACGATGCTTTAAACAAGGTATTTATGGCATTGTAGGAGTTCTGTGTGTGAAATACCATTTTCAATGGAAAATGTTTGCTTAGAAGAAAGTAACTTAAAATAATGTTGCTCATTTCAGTTCTGTAAATTTTACAGAAGTCAGACTGGGATAGGAGAGTCCAGTTTAGGTTTTGTAAATCCAAAAAAACAAAGCACAGATGACTGCTGCACTTAATGTTCTGAGCTGAAGTGTTGTCTGTCACACATTTGAAAAAACCAACCTTCCCATCTTCCTAAGATGCCTCTTGTATGTCTGAAGAAACCAAGCCAGCTACAGTCAGAGAACTGTAATTTGCACACAGTGGGGATACATGGCAAGTTGTCTGGGTTTTAGACTCACTATTTTTCAGTTTCCATGCTCAACCTCAGGTGTTGCTGAGCCCTTGCTCAGCAGGGGAGGCTGATGTAGGCAGTGTGAGGGCAGCTGGCTGCTCCTGCAAAGCTGATGTCTCTCAGGTTCTCCCAGAGACACCTTTTCTGCAAAGTTTAATGTGATAAGGTGGTTCTGTCCTGAGCTCTTTTTTACTGTTATTTCTTCTTTCCTTCTGATTTCCTCAATGATCTGAGCTGGCCATACATAGCTTTGTTCAAGGCACTTTCTGGCTCAAAAGTTTCTATTCTCTCCTTGTCTCCTAGCATTCTTGTAAGTCCCTTTATTTGAGATATCTATCGCAGTTCAAGAAGTCCTATCTCTGTGCTCTTTTCTCTACTGCCTTGATATGTGATCTTCCTGTGAATTTTTGTCTTTAGGATCCTGACATTGCCTAGAAAGAGCTCATGGTAATTCTATGTTTCATTTTTTAACCAGAGTGCACTATGACTTTAAGATCTGTGGAACATAACGGCTGTGATACTCAGGAATGTGACTGTAACTGGAGTGAGAATCAAATTTAATGAAATACAGTCCTTATGTAGTGAAGGTTCACAGTGATCACCCAGATGTCTCAGAGAAGCGCTTGGGATTTTTTTGTAAAACTTGTGTCCGTTTTTAAACAAAAATTAAAAAAAAAAAAAAAAGTAAGCATTCCTCATTAGTACTTTTGTCTTTAAAATAGTCACAGTGAAATGGTAAGCCAGTGGCAGTGTCTGCAATTAGGTTTATTCTTAGAACTTCCATCTTCTTTTTGGATGTATTCCAGATATGTATTCTTTACACCTCCGGAAGGTACAGTGAGTATCTGATAGACAATTGTAAACTTGATAAACTTTCTTTGCACTTTTACACATCTTGACACTTGAACTTTTAAATATAATTGTTATATACGTATTAGTACAGTGGAAAGGATGGGCTAAGAAACACATCTTTTGTTAAGAAGGCATTTTTAAACTGACTTTTGCCGAGTGAATGTTATTTTTTTTTAAATTTCTCTCGAATGTAGTCAAGCCTATGGAATGCTTCTTTGGTGTCCTATTCGGTCTTTAGTTTTTCTCTCTCCTTCTGTGTCCCTTAATGAGACTTTTGAGGCTGAAGTAGGATATTGAGGTTCCTGTTTCATGGACCAGTTTGTTCTGTAAATAGGACAATAAATGGTTGGCTGGCTACTTTTTCATCAGGAAGTTTATACTGCCTTAGAGATTTATCTGTCACTGAAAGTAACATCCATGCTAATTGCTCTGAAACAGCAGTGAAATACAATAGCCATGATTGAATTGCTGCTGTTGGGATGATGGTGTAGGGAAGTACTACAAAATAATGAACTGCTAGGTACCAGTAGAATTCTGCCCTTTGTTTAGTATAATGCTTATGGTTTCCAGTGGCTTCTACTTTTTGTTCTGCTTGCTACATAGGTATTTGAGTTTTTATAACAATACCTGATGATAACCATCTAGTCTTTTGGCACATTATCACTTTCAGTGCAGAGTAGGTCCCCACACACATTGGGTAATACTCAGCCTTGTTACTACAGAGGAAAAAAATTGTGTCTGCCTCTTCCCTCAGAAGTGGTAAATTTTAGGTCATTTGGTTGCTTCTGATTCAAGAGAAAGGGTAGCAGAATTTCTGGCTAAAAGTTTGTAATCTGGAATAAATTTCCTCATTGTCTTGAGTGGTTAAAATAAATGTCAGCTGATTGTGGGGGTGTTAAAGGATGTGACACTGCACTTACGGATCTGGGCTTCTTCCTGCACCTGTCTTGTCTATGCTTTTTCCAGCTGATACTCTATGTGATATATTTGAAATCTAAGTGCAGATGTTATATGATGAATCACTTTTTTTGTTCATTTGTGCACCTTTACATGACTTCTTCCTTCATCACCTGTTTGAGGAGGTTTCTGTCAAACTCTCAGAAATATCACAAAGGTGATTTGATCATCCTTCATGTCTCTTGATATCAATGCTGTGCCGTGCAGACAAATTTTTCTCTTTAAAATACTTAGTCTGAAAAAAGTAGTTTAATTTCAAGCACACTGTTATATGAGGAAAACCTTGGTGCTTTTTTCTTGGTTTATTGGTTGGTTGGTTGGGTCTTTTTAATAGATTTACCCCTTTTAAGTCCTAAAATGTGAGCTTATCAGCAGTGCTTCTCTAAAATATCAGCAAATAGTATTGCTGAGAGCCCTGTACATGAATAATCTTAAAATACCGAGAGAAATGTTATATCTGCTGTCTTCCCAGAAGCCCTGTGCATCACCCAGTAAAAATAGATTTGTGATGATACAGTAGTAGCAACATTCTCAGTCTAGAAGCTGTTCCCTTTGGAGTGGGATGTGCAGAACTAAATCCAGACAGGCACATGGGAGACTGGCAACTCTGTGGGTAGGGATGTAAGTGGGGGAAAAAGCAACCAACATTTTTGGAATAGCTCTTTTGATGCTGAACCTGGGAAATCATGAGATGACTTTCAACAAAATTCCCGGGATCCTGGACATTTGCTGTCTCCTCAGTGGAATTTTTCCATACAAGGTCAGTATTTAAATTCCCTAGTGGCATTTTTCAAATACACTTTTACAACAGCTAACTCTTTAAGGTTGGCAGAGACAAGCAGCTGCAGCCCTAAAATGATCCTTGGCAGATGATTACCGTTTTCCCCAGCTGGCAAGTTTTTTCCTGTTGTTTTTCTCTTCCCTTTTGTGTCAGGCACTTGGTGATACTTATTTGTCCTCTAATGGGAAAGCAATATCCTCTATCCCGTATTAGAACAAAGCAGATTTTTATTTTGATTGCCGCGTCCCTTTTTTTCCCCTTCTCCCGTATGACTTCTTAAAAACACCATGGGTGCCGTCAAGAACTGCATGTTCATTTTTTTTGCCTTACAAATATCTGCACAGCCTCAAGTAATTAATGATTGTTTCCTCCTCCTGTGCTCATAGACAGTGGAATTCTTAATGCTGGGGTTATGTACACAAGAAGTCTGCACAGAGAATTGAGGAATATGTTGAGGAAAAAATTCATTGTAGAGACAAAGATTTTGAACTTAGATTTCTTGAAGCAATTCAGTAGCTTACCATAGGAATTTTTTATATTTGAAGTTCTCCATGCAGGATATCACCATAATTCCATTGTTTTTTCCTGTTTGGATTACCATATTTGCCAGGTGTCTTCATCAATAGTTTTCTGTTTGTTTGTTTCTGGTTTTATTTAATTTTCTTTTCTTTCACATCATCTCTGTGACAAATGCAGATATCTCTAAATTGGTTTTGCACTTGAATGTGAGAAGGACACAGTTGTGAGAGTGAATTCTCTTCTTTGAATAGGGGTAACGTGTCCTAGTTTCTAATACAGCTCATTTATCTCATAGAAGGTGAAGCCACCTTTCTGAATGGAAAGGTTTATTAAACTGACTTGTCATGTTTTCTATGGTGTCTTCTTGATAATCTATGATCTCTTGTCTAAACTTAATCTCTCATCTAAACTTAGTCTCTCTATTGTCCCAGAGTACTCCTGTAAACTATTCCTCCCCACTGTAAATAAACTGTGCAAGATTTAATAGTCAGCCAAAAGTAAAAATTCTAGGTGGCTGAAAAAGAGTCCGAGTTAGGTTTTTTCCATGGTATGAACTGCATTTTTGAAGGGATAATTTAGCAACTGTGCTCATTGTTAGTTTCTAAATTCCCTGGGGGACCATATGTGTCAAATTCATATTTTGAATACGACTTTAGCTAAGGTCCAAGGTGGTGCACTTCATCTATGGAAATTATCTGCAAACGTTTTCTCTATGAATGATAATAAATTGATATTGCTATTATGTTTCCCTCATTTTTCCTAATCCCTGCCCCTCTCCGAATAAAAGCCAAAGAACCCAAACCTAGCATGTTACTCTGACATTTATTATATCCATTTATTTTTATACAAATAGTTGTGCCATGCCTTCATACACCAAAAATGTAAACATTCTTTCCATTGTATGAAGTTACTGAACTCAAATGCACTTCAAAGGACCCTGGGGAAACAAACCCACCAGAACATCTTTGCAAAGTTCTTCTTGTCTCTTTCTTTGTTTATGTTTTCTTTCTGCCGTATACACAAACAGTTCAGGACAGGGAAGAACTTAAAACACTTGAAATGTAGCAGATGGAGACAGATAATGACTAACAGTTACTGGTGAGATTCTTGCACTTAAAATTATGCTCGAAGTAAAACAGTTTGCCCAGAGGTAAACTGGTATTTGAGCTTATAGGAGGAGTCACCTTATGCTGTTGTACTTTGCATATGGACGACATGGTCAGACAGTGATTCTGGAAGTGGCTTTGGGCCCCAAAGTACTTTTAGTAGTCCTTTGGAAGACACTGGTCAATTGATAGGCCAGCCAAATGGCAGACAGGGAAAGAAAAATAATTCCTTTTTCTTGGGTTAATCCTGACAGTAATACTGTTCCATCCTGCTGTGAGCTACGTAGACAATGGAAAGCAGAGCATCTTCAGCAAGTTTGGGGATGATATTACACAGAGAGGGAGCAGCTGATATGGGTAGGGTAGGGATGCTTTTCAGAAGGACTTTGTCAGACTGGAAAAATGGATTGAAAGGAACTCCAAGCAGTTCATTAGGGGTAAAATAAAGTTTTACTGTCCCTGTTGGAAAATCCCTGTGCAATAGCAGAAGCTGGTGCTTGGAGAGCAATGCAGTTATGGGAAGCTTATGAGACAATAATGTGCCTTTGTGTACCAGCTGTGTTGGGTCATGGAAAGTGAGCCTGTTAG